TCAGTTATTTTCCACCTCATCTCGTTCAGTTATCATCCACGTCATCTTTTTAAACACTGTTAGTGATAGCTAAGCATGTTTAACAGTGTTAAATCTAGGTCCAAGTCCTTTTAAAAATAGGAGGACTAACTTGTTAACCATAGTAAACTTAAAGGACCAAAATCAAAAGTTTCAAAATCTGGAGACTAAAACCAAAATGAATATAAAGTATAAGACCGATTATTATATTAACCCATATATAAATTTATTCATGAAGTATTTGCTACAAATGTAACATGAATGTAAAAATACGTATGAAAATTTAAAATGGTGTAAAAATGTCATTGACGTTGATTAATTTTTGCGTGGGGCCTATACTACTGTCTAAGTCTGAAAAGTAATAGACCTCAGGCTATGATAATTTTGTATTATTTTGAAACATTCGTATGTATTTTTATATCTAAAAAAATTTTATGCTGTACAATTTTACTTAAACAATCTAATCATTTAAAAAATTTCACAAGTGATAGCTATGTATTTGTTGTCATTTTCATTTAACCTAATGAAACCGTCAAAAAATTATGGTGTTAAATTTGTTTTCTCCTCTAAGAAGCCATTGACTATGTAGAGCACCAAACCACAAGTTCAATGACAAATTTGGGCACACTTCTTTTTATTTTGCATTAGGCCACTTCTAATTATATCAACATATATCTCCATTTTGTTAAAAGACTCTCTGATCATACTAGATAAATTATACTACCTCCGGTCCTAATTATAAGACTTTATTTGTAGACTACAAACATGATCTTATAATTAGGACCATAAGTAGTATTTTGTATTTCGTGTCGCGTTTTGTAATTTTCAAAGAAAATTTTCTTCTTTTCATTATTTAACAAACAACTGTCTCTTCCCGTCCTCATATTAAAATCACTTAATTAATTTAAATATATTAAATGAGTCGACTAGATTAATTAATTATACTACCTAAACCCTAAACCAAATTTTGCCCACCCCCAATATTTTAAAATATTTTACAATGTAATTTTGGCCCTAAAGCGTTAAGATTTTATTTTTTTCAAGTTTTTTTTAATGAAAAAGAGAGGTATTTGAAAATACCTCGTTAGTTTCTCATTTCATTACATAGGGGATGACAAGTAATTTAAAATTTAGGAGGTTATTTAGTTAATAATATCAAAAGCAAAAAGTATTTAGAAAAAAAATTTATACAACTTCCAATAGATGTTATTATAAATATCATGAAAAATAGTCTGCTATTATCTCCAGTTCTAAATATAAGAGTTAGTTAATGATCATAAATATAAGACTTAAATTTTTTGTCTCTCAAATTAATGACGCATTCTAAAAAAATATTCCTATTGATTATAAGGTATTTTCACCTAAGTATAATTTTAATATATATGATTGAATAAGGGTGATTTAGAAAAGTTAACACACATTTATCATAAATAACCAATTTAATTAATTTTTTTAGCTTCTCTAAGTTAATTATTTAGCTCTTGAAAGTAATAGTAAAAAGTGAAAAGAGTAAAGTTTCTCGTTCTTTCCTTTTCTTGAACTAAAATATATTTCACTATCATGTTTCCATAAGATCTTTTCTTTTTTTGGGAGATATTTCTTATAAGATTTAACTCAATAACAAATTAATTAATTGTTTGAAAATTATCAAGAACACAAGGGTCAGGGTGGAAATTATTCACATATCACAGTCTATACTAATGAAAAAGAACAAACCAATTATTATAAAATTATTTGGGTAAATTTTAAAATTCAAGAGGTTAATTGTCATGTTTTGAAAATTACGAAATTAAAATTTGTGATTCCACAAAAACTGAAAAGAGAGGTATATGGAAATACCTCATGAGAGACAGTTGAAGGACGTGCCCGGTTCATAGTCCCCACTGCCGTCTCGAACTCATGACTTGATTGATGAACCCAAAACTCTTCACCAAGATGTCATGCGCTCGAGAAAGCAGCGCTTTTTCTCGTTTTTAGTTATTAAACATCTTTAAGTTTTTATCAAGCCGGCCATTAACTCTTCTTTCCCTTGAAAAAATTGCAGTGACTTGTTATGATTATATTTAAGGAGAAATTCTTAGGTACTCTGGGAGTACCACCTCACTTGAACACTGTCCAATTAAATCACACCAAATCAGTAGATGGCAGGCTCACATGTCAGTCTACGTGGCACATTTTCCATAGAAAAAATTTTATTAAAAAAATTCTGTTAAAATTGTTTTCTCTCTCCCATTTTTCAACACACCTCTCTTAACTTTTCTCTCTCTTCTGCGTCTTCCCTTCCCCGTTTTTCCGGACTCTCTTTAATCCTCCTTTTTTCTCTTCTTTTCATTATCCTTAGCCAGTTTTCTCTCCTCCTTTCATCATGCTTATCTTACCAATCCATTTGTTTCTTCTTCTTTTTTTTTTTCCTTTTGTAAAACCCTTTTTTCGATTTCTTCCACTCATATTGCATCCTCCCCAATTTCACCACACCTCAGCCGCCACAATGCCCTCCGCCTATGCCGTTATTTTGCTAGCCAAGGTTAGCTTGTGCTCAAGCTCTTTGAAGAGTGTCACCCCGAGCAGGATCTCATCTATAAACACTTGATGAATCTTAAGATTATGAGAGCTATGTTTGCTCGGCCGCACTCCAGCTCCTTCATTCATCTTTCATCCTTCAACAAACTAAGTAGCAACAAAACAAAATGGGGCCAGATGGATTTTAAAAATTTTAAGGAAATGCAAGACGCCAGCACCCAGCTTCTTATATTTCAATAAAAACGTTACTTCTCACTTTACCCCCATTATGCTTCAGGACTTTGGTACGCTGTAATGCAATTCTTCATCTTTGGAAAAAATGGCCAGAGGAAGGACCAAGACTAACGAGAGAGAATGAGAGGGAAACTGGTAAGGATAATGGGAAAGACGAGGCAAAAAAAAATAGAGAGAGAGAAGAAAGACTGTCATGAAAGATGGGGAAAGGAAGACGCAGAAGAGAGAGAAAATTTGAGAGGGTGAGAAGAGAAAAACTGGCCAAGGATAATGAAAAAGAAGTGGGAAAGGAGGAGTATAGAGAGTCCGGAAAAATGAGAAAGGGAAGACGCAGAAGAGAGAGAAAATTTAAGAGAGGTGTGTTGAAAAATGGGAGAGAGAAAAAACAATTTTAGCAGAATTTTTTTAATAAAATTTTTTCTATTGAAAATGTGCCACGTAGACTGACATGTGGGCCTGCCATCTACTGATTTGACGTGATTTAATTTGACAGTGTTCAAGTGAGGCGGTACTCCCAGAGTACTTAAGAATTTCTCATATTTAAGTTCATTCTTGGAGAGTAATATTTCAAGTAAAATCTAGAATATATATATATATATATATATATTCTTATCAAGTGTTTTATGTTAGTACTGAAAATTGGGTTTTATAATTAAATCCTATAAACATAAGATCAGAGTATTTATATTTTTTTAAGGATGAAACCTTCCACTATTTGAAAGTTGTATTGGATTGAAAAATTATTTTATAAATTAAGAGAATAAATTGAAATACCATATAATATTAGAGAATTAAAGGCATAATGTTTTACCTATATACATGTGTGTGTATCATATGACTACAAAACTGAGTCTCCTGGCTTCTTTCTTTCTTTTATCAATTTGCTATATACAGTTGCAAAAAAAAAAAAAACTCTTTCAATTCTTAATATAATATCTATTTAATTAATTTAATTATATTAAAAAAATTAGGTAAGTTAATTAATCATAAGAAATATGATACGTTTTTCTTAAAATAATATAATAATCTTCTTTAATATCTTTCCTCCCTCTCATACTTGATTATAGTTGAGAGAGTATCAATAAGAGTAATTTAAAAAAATAATAAATATAAGAAATAGGTTTTATATTTAAAACTAAATTAAATCAATAATTAAGTCCTACATTAAAGACAGGAGAAGTACTAAAATACCACTTGAACAGTATTTATTAGCATGTTGCACCAAAAATCATTCCCCGTTAGAATGAACTAAGATTTGCACACAAATTGTTAACTCCAAAAATGACTGTCATATAATATATGTGTGTGACTTTAACATATATTTATATTTGATTTCAAATTTAAATGAGACGAGCTCGTATTAATAATTATTAATTTAAAATACTTTGAATTCAAATCGTTGGACTGAAGAGTTTTTTGGCCTGACTTGAACTCAGGATCTAAAAATAACTTGAAACACAATTACGGAACTTAAGTCGTACACTGCTCAAATTGCTATTAATTGTTAAACATACGCATCTAGTCAAGAATTATGTTTTCAACAATAGTAAAACTGAAAAGTAATTTGTATATCTGTTATCTACATTAAAAATTTATGCAATTAAACTCATAGTTAAAGGTACTTTTTCCCCAATAAAATTAGGAAGTACATGTTTATTCCAATTAACGCAAAAACTAATATTTGTTATTAAGGCATTGAGTTTTTTTTTTTAGATTGAAAATCACCATAACTAATTTGATTGAATTTCCCTTATGAGTCCGATTTCAACTTCAATTTTAGCTTATTTCACTTACGAAGCCAATATCCAGGTCACCTAACAAGGCACTCGCCATTGAAGAAAGGTGAAGTCCTAATCAACTTTTTTTTCCTCACCAGAAACAGGTCCTAATTTGAGATTAAAAATAATGATGAAGAACTGGGAAACCATAAACAATTAAATATCATTTAAATTCATAGTTGAACTAGATGAAAGAAACCCTATAAAGTAACCCAAAACGATGAATATATGTATGAGAAACGAAAAGAAAGAAACTAAACGCATAAAATGTCAAGAAATAAAACACCTAAAAATACTTTTCATCAATATATCTATAACATCTTTGTCAAGAGACAATTGAAAAAACTCCTAAACATTAGAAGAAAGAAAAACAGAGAAAACAAGTGTCCACGAAACGAGCTATCCTCCATTAAAGATCTTAATGGCTGGTTGTTGTCCCTGAAGAATTTGTTAAAGAGGCAAAGGCAAGGGATTCTTCTTCCAAAATCTGAACTGCACAGGCCTTTGTTCTAGCATTGTCTCGACCTCTTCTATCGGAAGCCCTTTAGTTTCTGGTACGAAGATGAGTACGAAGAAAATTCCAATAAAAGAAACAAAACCAAAGATCATAAAAGTCCACGCAGTTCCGATACTCTTTGTCATGACTAAGAAAGTTTGTGACACTATCAGATTGGAAACCCAAACTGAGGTGGCCCCCATACCTCCACAAACTCCTCTATATCTGAGCGGATATATCTCAGAGTTCACAACCCAAGGAACAGTACCCATTCCAGGTGAAAACGAGATGATATACAACGAAAGTCCTAAGATGGCAAGCCAACCAAAATTGGAAGGACATCCTTCGGTATACCAAGAACTTTTCTCTGTTTGGCATTGCATTTTTGAGTTGTCATTTAAGACCAAACACACCCCAGGTGCGAGCTGCACAACAACAATCCACCGTTAGAGAGTTTAAAGAGTTATTATAATGAGATAAGAGAGTGACAATAGTATACCTTATTAGATGGGTCAGCACAAAATCCACAAGCCGGAGAAGATTTGAGACACTTGTTACAACCAAATCGAGTACTAGTTTTCATTGCAATGTCATAACTGGGACATGTTCCATTGAAGTGGGAGGTTGCAATTGGACTAATCTCAGGGGAATGAGTTTCTGTAACATAGAACGGGGCAAAAATGATACAGAGAGAGAGTGCACAACCAACTAAACTGATTAATGCAAGCTTTTTTCTCCCAATTTTCTCAATAAAATAGATGCTGATAATGGAACCAAAAGCATTGAGCCCGGATGTAATCAGCGATAGAAGGAGTGCAGTTTGATTTGATGTAATTCCCGCTAGTTGAATTATGGTGGGGCTGTAGTACATTACTGTGTTAATGCCTACAAATTGTTGGAATATTTGAAGTCCCATTCCAGCATATAGAGCTCTTCTCACTGCTGTGTTTTTAAGCATTTTCCATATGCCAACCTTACTTGAAGATTCCGATTCCTTTATTTCTTTCTTAACTGACTCCTCTAAAGCTTGAATCTCAGCTTCAACTTCATTCGCATCATAAATTTTCCTCAGAATCTCTTTTGCTTCTTCATCCCTCCCCTATTCAAAAGAAAGACAAGGTTTGTTTTGTAGGTTATGGCATGAACTAACGATAGATACAAAAACGCATAAAATTGATAATGAAGGCACCTTTCTGTAAAGCCAACGAGGTGATTCAGGAAGCCAAAACATTATAACAAACTGAATCAAACCAGGAACTGCTGCCACTCCTAGCATCCACCTCCATGTTCCAGGTGCCTGAAATACCAAAATATAAAAATAAAAAAAGCAGTTTATATACAAATTTCATAACTATAAAATAATAATAACAATAGTATGAAGTGAAAGATCTTACATTAGCGAAGCCTAAATTGATTACATAAGAGAGGAATTGTGCGCCAGTGATAAGAAAACTGTTAAGACTAACAAGGGCTCCTCTAACTTTAGTTGGAGAAGCTTCAGAGATATAAAGTGGTGCAGTCATGGAAGCAGTTCCAACCCCAAGACCAACCACCAATCTACCAGCTAAGAGGGCTGCTGGGTTAGGGGCAGCACCCATAATTACTGAGCCAGCAAAGAATAGAAAAGCTCCAATTTTTGTGGCTTTTTTCCTTCCATAACGATCATTAAACCATCCTCCCACCAATGATCCAATAACCGCACCAATCAGAGCAAAACTTACCACTGCTCCCTATTTTCAGTTAAAAAAGAGATTAGTTTTTCCTGCTCGCTATATAGTTGAATATAACATTGAAACTATAAACAAATTATTAAAATCAAATATATAAAGTAGTGTTTAAAAAACATGAAACGATATCTGTTATTTATGCAGTGAACAAATCACTTGAATTAAAAAATAAGTTGTCTCCTTTCTCAATTGAATTGATGATGATGCTATTCTTTTAAAGAATGACAATCGAATACCTGCAACCACGCAGAACTTGCCACTGATGGAAAACTATCCCTGATGTATAACAGAGCCCCAGATATTACTCCTGCGCCACAAGATAATTAAAAATAAATATTTTCTCACTCATGAAAACATAAAGAAGCATAAACTCAATCAATAAAAACATAATTTAGTCATAAAAAGCCCCAGATATATGCTTCCCTGTAGTAAAAATTCGAGGAGTTTTTAACATTGGAATTATTAAAGTACATTGCCTTGTAAAAGACTATGGCATGTGTTCCTTAAGAAAGAATTTAACAAGTTATATAACTTGTGAAAACGCAACTAAAGACTATGGTAAATTTGATGGAAATAAGAATAAATAAAGATGGAGACATACCAGTGTCATAGCCAAAGAGGAATCCACCAAGTCCAGCAGAAAAAGCAAGTCTGAGAACATAAGGATTTTTGCTTGAAAGAGACAATAATGCTCTGAAAGCAGACGCATCAGCTTGTGGTATTCCTCCCTCCATGATCGATCAATCAATTAATATTAATATTACACAGCAAAATAATTAGAGACTAGAGAGACCAGTGATCAAGTTCATGTGCATCCAAGAGCTGAAATGAGACAAATATATAGACGTTATAGGCGTTATAGGCGTGGGTTAGAGGATAAATTGGGTTAGATTTAAATTGATTTGAATCTTCGGTTTAAGGGATGCAATCAACATCCTTTTGAAATCTTTTAATGATAATTTACCTTAATATTATCTATGTTATTATCATCTCATGTTATAGGATGAAATAAGTTAGATTTAAATTGATTTGAATCTTCCGTTAAAGGGATGAAATCAATCCTTTTGCGACTTTTTAATGAAGATTTATCTAAATTAACATTATCCATTTCATTATCATCTCATATTATTTTAATTTATATTATTTTAAAAAATGTATATATAAGGCAAAAAGATTCAGATATCTTATATTTTAAATCTGGTTTCATCTTTTAACTGATGATATGAATTTAAATTTTTTAGATAATTGTTTCAGATATTAATTTAATGGAGTATACGAGATATTTTAATTCTATAACTAATTAGTCGTATGCCTATTGAAAATAACTTAATTTTTTTTCTAAAGATAACACATTTTGATTTATTTTATTTTATTAACTTATATAAAACTGTTATAATATTTTTAGATTGATGTAAAATCAATTATTAACGTTGCTATTTTTTTTTAGTGCTTTAATTAGAAAGAGAGGTATTTGGCGATACCTCATTAATAAGCAGGTCCCTGGCACGATATTCTGGCTGCCAAGTCAAACTCATGACCTGACAGGCAAAGGCAAAAACCCTCGCCGACAAGCCACGAGCTGACCGGGCGAAGGTTGAGGCAATTAAAAATACTTATTATTTATTTCTGTTTTTCATTAAAACAATTTTTTATTGTTATTATTATAAATTGAATTTTTAATTTTAACAAATAAAAACTTAAAATAAAAATAAATTTATAATTGAGACTTCTTAAAATAATAAATTTATTAATAAGAATTGTATATTAAATATTTTAAATATGGACTATTTAAATTTCAGATAATTCATATTTTATCAAAATGACGAGCATACCATACTCATTATTGGAATAAGTATTGAATAAGAACCCCAATTTTAAATTGTTCTTCTTGTTTTTTTCCCCTAAAACATAGATATTCTTCTATTGGAGGCATTATCCGGCATTAAATGTGAACACCTCTCTCAATGTGAATTTGAATATTGATTTGCTATGTTATGAGAAACTAACCCTTTCTGTCACACCCAATCCCTATTAGTTCTAATCTCTAGAATTGTCTATATGGTAACACCGCAACACCAGAGTCTCTATGGTCAAGCCTGGACCAAATCCAAATTATAAATTGAATTTTTTATTTTAACATTGAATTGTTTATATATATAGTAATTTATATTATTTTAATATGTGTGTGTATATATATAAAAGGTAAAGGAATTCAGATATCTTATATTTTAAATCTGGTTTCATCTTTCAACTGATTATTTAAATTTAAATTCTTTAGAGAATTGTTTCAGATATTAATTTAATGGAGTATACGCGATATTTCAATTCTATAACTAATTAGTCATGTGCCTATTGAAAATAACTTAAAAATTTTATTGAAATAAATCATTTTAATTAATTTATATAAAACTGCTATTAATTATTTTTTAGATTGATGTAAAAATCAATTATTAACGTTGTTATTTTTTTTAGTGTTTTAATTAAAAAGAGAGGTATTTGGCAATACCTCATTAATGGATTAATGGAAAGGTCCTTCGTACGATATCCTCGCTGCCAATTCGAACTCGTGACCCGATGGGGGAACGCTAAAACCCCCCACCACCAAGCCAAGGGCTGAATTGGCGCAAGTTTGCCCAGTCATAAATATTTATTTGTTTATTTTCTCCTTTCATTAATCCAATTTTTTTGTTGTTATTATTTAACAAAATCTTTGAATGGTCCAATCCAAATTATAAATTTAATTTTTATTTTAAAAAATACAAAAATTAAATAAAAATAATTTTATAACTCAGACTTCTTAAAAAAAATAAATTTATTATTAAAATCTGTATATTAAAAATTTTACATACGGGCCATATAAATTAAATTTTAGATAATTCATATTTCATTAAAATGATGAGCACACCATACCCATTATTGAGATAAGTATTGAACAAGAACCCCAATTTCGAATTGTTCTAATCTCTAGGAATTGTAACACTGTGCAAGACCAGAGTCTCTATGGTCAAGCCTGGACCAAATCCAAAGAGAACACCCCATTGACGTCCTTCTCCGGTAGTGGCTCTTCCTTCCTCCATGGATTTCCTTCTCATTTCATCTAATATAAACAACACACAAGCACTTGACATGTTCCCATATTCTGTCAGTACGTGTTTCGTCGCTCTCAATTTATCTTCCTCCAACCCAACCCTTTCTTCTATCTCTCTCAGTATGGATGCCCCGCCAGGATGCACTATCCAAAACAGCGAGTTCCAATCTTTGATTCCAATCAAACTCATTGCTTCTTCAAGGATTTTCTCTATATTTTCTCCGATCAAGCGAGACAGGTTCTTCTTAAGATGTAGTGTGAATCCCACTTCACGTAAGTGTCCTTCAATGGCGCCTTCAGAGTTAGGCAGGATCGTTTCTGATGCAGAAACAAGATAGAACAATGGTCTTTCAATGGAAATTTCTGGGTTTGATCCAACGATCACAGCAGAAGCTCCGTCCCCGAAGATAGCATGGCTAACCAATGAGTCTAGGTGTGTTTCAGATGGTGGATGGATGTTGACGGAGGATATCTCGGAGCATACTGCAAGAACCCGAGCGCCGGCGTTATTCTCGGCTAGATCTTTGGCTAGGCGGAGCACGGTTGCGCCGGCGAAGCAGCCTTGGAAGTAGAGCATGAAGCGTTTGGTGGATGGGTTGAGACCTAAAAGGTTGACGAGGTGGTAGTCGGCGCTGGGCATGTCGACGCCGGAAGTGGAGCAGAAGATGAGATGGGTGATCTCCGATTTGGGTCTTCCCCATTCTTTAATGGCGTTTGAAGCTGCCTTTTCACCGAGCTTCGGAATCTCCATAATCACCATGTCTTGGCGTGTATCAAGTGAAGGTTCATTTGCAGAGCGTAGATTAGGGTTTTGTTTCAGCATCTCTTCAGTCAGGTATGCATAACGCTTCTTTATCATGGACTTCTCACCTATGACAAGTTATAAAATTTTAATACACACACCTCATTTGCTCCTAAATGTATGAAATACTTGAGGGATTTGTTTTGATCCGATCAGCCTAGTCTTAGAGATAAATTTTCTACATTAGTCCTATTAATTACCAATATTATGTATATAAGGAATAATTTTCAAAATTAATTAAATAATTAAAATGAATATTTTAGAAAGACAAACACATTTTTTTACTAATAACTTATTAACTTAGTTTTCTTAATGAAAATGAACTAATTAATTTAATGCCGGGGGCGATGTAGCCGGAATGATACCAAACACCTCCCTTAAACATAAGGTTACACGCTAAGTTTAGTTATGTTAGAAAAAAAGGTCTTGATAATATTGTTCAAATAATTTAATGTATCATGTGAGTATTGCAAATAAATAAATTAAATAGACACAAATAGGGATTGGATATAACAAAAAAAGTTAGTCCTTCACAACATGACAAACCGAGATTTAAATCCCTACTGGAAGAGATACCTATATTTAGCGCCAGTATAATAGTATCTCGAATAAGATTACTTTTAATAAAATGATACCTATGATTAGCAAAAAAAAAAAAACTAAATAGACACACTTACAAATGCGTTGAAACTTGGGCTTGAGGTGAGTCAAGTGTTGAGTATTGGTGAGTCTGAAGTAGTAATCAGGATCGTCTTGATGGATGCAGGCGGAGGGATTGGCTGTGCCAATGGCCAGGATGGTGGCTGTGCCACGGCCTCTCTGAGCCTCTCTGATCTCTTCCAAATGTTCCATTTTTCTAATATCAGCCTTAGATAGATCCTTGTGGAGGGGCCTTGAGGATTTTATAGAGGTATTATTGTATCAGCCAGAAATGATGTCATGTTGATGACACTATTATTTATAGACCCGGAATGGGTCTACGTACCTTGGGAAACATATCTCCAGTTCAAAATGATGAGATGGTTGAGTTGTCATTTATTTTTCTCCGTGGATCAAATCCCAAGACAAACTGGTTCTAATTACAATTAATATTATAACAATTTTACACAAATTCATCGACATAATTTACATTTGTTATTTCCTTAATATATACTCCGAGTCATATTTATAAAGCAGAAAGAGAAGATATTTTTTGGTCTTATTTATAAGACACTGAGAGAAATTTTTGTATGGACATATAATTTTACCCTTCATTTATTATTGTGTTGACTTTGCTTATATGAGATATGATATATTTAAATAGAGATAAAGTTGGAAAATTGTTAAGTTTTAAATGAGAGTTAACAAAATTTAGGGTTTTTCTTGGTCTGTGTGAAACATATTGAAAGTGACTTGTAAATAGGATCAAACAAGTATATATCAAAATTGGTGGTTAGAGAAGTTTAGCTAATTAGTCATTAGGATATTTTATAATTAATTAGGCATATTAAATAAAAAAATTAATACTTTAAACAAATAACAGTATATTATGAATACGTCCAAGGTCACTCGATAGAGCATTGAGTACTTCTTCCTCTATGCCTATTTAAAAGAGAGTAATTTCATGTACTTTATATTACTTATAATTCTTAACATAACAATTACATAATTACTTTATAGATATTAAAAAAATTAATTAAGTTAGTTATTTATAACAAATATATTTTAATTTTTCTAATCTATTCATTTAATCATGTAGATTGAAATTACTATCAACTCCTTAATTTGGAGTCTCTTTAATATGTGCAATCAATATTAAATATTTTGAGTAAAAATTTATGATTTTGGTAGACAAAGTGGATTTT